AAATCAGTGGTGTTGAGTTCAACAGTTGGTGAAAAACTAGTCTGTCCCCATTTAAATCAACCACTTAGCAACCTAGCCACACACTTTTTAGGTTCTTTAACCTGATAATCTGTAATTATTCTGGCTCAGAATTCCAACTGAATGGGGTTCAGAGTAATTTTGCAGATGTTATTCTTTATTTGAATATTGTCTAATTTAAAAGGAAAATATTTCAGATAATAACAACATATTTTAAGGGGGAAAAAAGCATGAAAACCATTTCTGTTCCAAGAATTGCTGATATGAGAATTTATGAGGAAACAGCTCCTTTTATGAATAATTATTATTATTGTGTTTAAGAAATGGGCAAGATGCCTAGAAATTGAATGAAAGAATGAGCTATTAAATTGAAATATTAAATGAAATAACTGAATTAAAAGTGATCATGTAAACCCAGCAGTAAATGTTGGGAGCTGTAGCTGATTGAACATATTTTCATCATCTGTTTTGTATGCTTAAATACAATTGCTTGATGTAAGTAAACACTTGATTGATATTCTGAATACTTTAAAATCTGCATATGCATCATGGAATACTGAACAATTAAAACTTAATTTCAGTGTAGTTTGATTACATGTAAATTATTTCAATATTCATTTTTTCCTGTTCTGTTTGCTCAGTGCATAATATCCACTTTTTGAATGCATATCACTCTTGATTGGACTGTGAGATGAGGAGGACTCTGAAATTTCTTCCATTAAAAAGAATTGCCTTATAAATGTTATTTGTGACACAGCTCTTCCCCTGCAGATTATTTTCTAAATGTTGTGTACTCTTACTGAAGACAAGGAAAAAAACTGCTGCAGCCCTCCTTTATCAGCCCAGCACAAGGAATATGCTTACATGGTCGATGAGCATGTCTAAGAAGGCTTGTTGGTTGTAACTAGTCCCTAAAGAAATGTTCCCACCTTTTCTGCACTATATTGCTTGCCTGCATGAGCTCCCTCTCCCTTCCCTTCCTCCTCCCTCCACATGATTTTTTTTTTCATTTTCCTAGTTCTTGGAGGTCTTTCGAGACACTTTAATATTATGGCTAAATATTACAAGTGTTTTCAAGTTGACCATTTTCAGTTTGAAAAATGTATCTCTATCTTTAAGTGACCATATTCAATTTAGGAGTTGTGGAATACAGATGAAAAAAAAATGCCTTTTTATATATTTGTGGAACATTTTCTAAAAACCAGATACTTCTTTCCCCTTCTCTGCAGACTGCAATCCAGACACATTTTTTTGATCAAGAATATTTCAAATTACTTTATTTCTGAACATCCAACAGAAGGAAATCCTAGGCATTTAATTCTCTTATTATTTATGCCAGTGAACACAATATCCTTTCTGAAGTTGCAGATAACATTTTATTTTTTTTTAATTACTTATATATTTTATTTTAAAATAAAATTATTTCCTGGAATATTTTCAGTTAAGTCATATTCCCAAAATACAGGCAGGCAGCACGTTTGTCACTTCACCATGGAAAGCAAGTCTGGATTCTTCTCTACCTTGACTATTTTTGACCTACATGCCCATTGTTATTCACATTTCCCCTTGATTTCCTTGCCCATACTAACAGAAATTTTTTTACACTTTTTTAGAATGCATATAATAACAGTATTTTTTTTTATATAAGAATTTGAAGTTAATGTTGTATCTACTAAATGGAATGTTATACTAATATAATAATACTAATGTTGTATCTACTTGCAAGGAAATGTTTTCCTATGTGTCCTATACAGTTAATTGCAGTTTCAGAGTTCTAATCTTGAAGGTCATATTTCTATTGCCTGTCACTTTGACCAAACAAGTGGCTGAACTTCATGGTTTGCAGGTGGATTTCCTTATCTCTCTTTTTCAAGACTCATGTAAGTCTTGATTGCTGGAGTTACTGTGAACCAAGCAATAAGGGGCAAGGTGGAGGAAGGTGTGGGAAGACACTGTTCAACACCAGGGCCCTGGAGATTCCATTTTAGAGAGCAAATGTTGTACCTGGTGACTGTGGCACAAGAACAAAAGGGGGAGCATTTTACTTGGGGGTATTTTGTTTGTTTGAGGTGCTGATAAACTGTTACGTGAGTGTGCTAACAACAGTAAGAGGTCTTCCTATGATAAAACATGCTTATAAAACAGATATTATTAACTTAAGGTTGGTCTCATGCTATATAGACCTCTCTCTAATGGTTTCTGTACATTAAAACCAACAAAACTTTAATAACTAAGGGTTTCAGAATAACAATTATCTTCTAGTAAAGTTAGGTTAAAAAATGCTGGATATTCCTGACTCATTTAATACTGTTGGCCTAAGTAAAGCAAACTTGTCACTCTTCTTTGTAACATCTGCCTTCTTTTAAGGCAATTCAATTTATAATAAATTATGAAATAACTGTGATTGTTATTTGCAGCACTCTTGGTTTGTGAAGAGCATTCCTTAGATAGTCTCTTTTTTTCCTTTTTTTTTCCTTAGTACAGAACTGAAAATAATGAGTTAACATCACACTTTTATGAATAGGGGTCATAATGAGACTGAAGTATGTATGTTGATTAAAGGAAAAATAATTGAAATCTTTGTGAAACTGCAAAGAAATTACAGCTTAAGGCCATGTTTCTGTTTTGCAAGTCAATCAAATGAGAAAGTTATTTTATATTTTTTGGTTGCTGGCATTTTTTTTTTCCTTGGCTAAAGCAAATGTTATTCAAGTAGTCTGTATAGTGATAACTTTGGAAATACCAAATAATGATACAGACATTCTTTTTAGCCAGTCACATAGCTGGTTTCTGTTCAGTTCCAATATCCCCTTTAAGTACTAAGAATGTGTATTTAATCCATAATGGAAAATAAAAATATGCCAGGAAAAAATATAAACATGATATCTGTTCAAGATACACATATTTTAACAGGTACTTAATTAAAGCATAGCTTCAAAAGCATCACTGCGAAACAATGTCTTTTGATGGAAAATCCAGCATAGGAATCATTTTGAAAAGCTTCAGATAGACAGACAGGCATGAAAAGGTGGGGGTGCACTGCCTGTTCCCTGGTGATCAAAAGGTTAATTTTAATTTATCTCTTCCCCTCCCTTAAACTGGTTCTGTGAGGAGGGCTGCAAATTAGTACTTGGAAGGCACAGCAGGGAGATTAGCTTTAGGGAGGGAAGGGCTCCCCACTCCAGCTCTTAGGAACCTCACCTGGAGAGTGCATTTCCTTTTCTACTTAAGCTAACATATTATGCCTTCTTGTCACGAATGTTATTCCTTGAGGAAAAGTCCTCTCTGGTTCTATCTTACAATCTGATGAATCATTCCAAGTATGTGGTAGAGGAGAGGAGAGCGATAAGGCTGTAACAGGAGGGAGCCAGGAAACCGCTGAGGCTTTGGACGGGAACAGGAATCCCGGTGTGGTGCATCATATGGGATTACTTTACTCACCCAAGCAAAGGAGGATTCCCATCTTTCCTCTTGTTCACACTGGCCTGAGGAGGAGCTGCTGCACTGCCCACTGTTTCCTGTGACACCACCAAGGTACAGAGCTGTACAAATTCTGGCATCCATGCATTGCTGTCTGACAATATTCATTTGACAAGCACAGCCGACACCTTTCTAACCCTGAGAAATCACAATGGTGTCTTTTCCCCACTGGGACAAAGAAGTCATCTCCTTCCAAACCTCAAGTGTCCACAACTGATCCATTGTTGAAATTGTTAACAGGTGGAAAGGGGGAAAATGTACCCACTTCGTAATGGGACAAATACAAAATTGATCTGTATGGGATCAATCTTTTACCTCCCAACTGAAATAAAATTGGGGTATTTGCATTTCTATAAATAATCACCAAATCTAGCTAATTTTAAATAGTTAAAAATGTGCAATAGAGGAAAATGTGTACAGATAGAATCACTTTCTCATAACACAGTGTCACATAATGGTTATCCACATCTAGTCTAAGAGAGACATTAGCCCAATGCAGAATTTTCCATTGGGATTAGCATTTGCCAGCACAATGTCGTACATGTCCTCAGAAAGCTTCTGATGGATGGCTTGTGTCCTCCTGCTTCTATGGAATTCCCAAGGATTGGGATATTCACACCCTTGCCTAGTCCCTCTATCCTGTGTGGGTATTTGCTGTAACTCCCAGGAGATGGTGCGTGGTCTGGGTAGGATGAAGGGGTCGGTCTGTTGCCACAAATGGAAGAAGCTGTGGACATCAAGGCATGGCCTCAACCCACCAAAGGAATGGTCCTTAAAGGTGAAATTCCACATTCATGCTGCCCCCTTCCTGCTCTACTGCATCTCTGGGTGATGCAGAAGGTGGTGCCTTCTACAGCACACCTAGAGATAATTTTCACTTGTGATTTTGCTCTTTTCCTTCTTATTTTACTTCATTGATGCAATCTTTTTCACTGTAGGATCTCAGAAAACTCTCAGGAGTCTGTGCTAATACTGGGCTAAGGTAGTTATGAGACAAAACAGTATCACTCTTTTACTCCCTAAGGATTCATGGCTCAACTGGTTTAGCATCTTCAGAGAGCTGTATTGAGGGGTCTGCAAGGACAAAACTCGGTGTAAACTTCTACAGGGACCTTTGAAGTAATGTGAAATTTGGGATTAGCATTTTCTGTAGAGGATTTTGAGGTTCCTACCAGCATTGCTGGGGATACTGTTTATCTATGTTGTGGTTGCTATCTCTGTAAAGGATGGATTTGTTAGGATCTTCAGATTCAACCAGATCTGATGGGACTCAACACTGAACCACTTGGTGAAGATTTTAAACAATGACAAAGGTTAAGGGTAGTCACTGTCCTCCCTCACAGTTCTGCAATCTGACTATGAGCCTATCAAGTTTCCCCAATAAAGCTTTGGCATCACTTTTGGTGAGCGTTGAAGGACTTTGTACACATGAACAAAAACCTTGAAAATTATGCAGCTCTTAAATTAACCTCAGCAAGTGATGTGTTTCCTTTTTCTTTCAGGTATCAGAGGTTTGAAAAAGCATTTCTGCTTGCTGTTGATATCGGTGCTCGGGACCTGTTCATGGTGAGTTGTTTGTTTCTGGAGACAGAGACTGTTGGAGGATATTAGTTGTCAGCTTTTGCACACATTAAAACAGTTCCAGGACATTTGCGGTCTTGGACACATACTGAAGACAGAGCTGTTCTACCTTTGCCATCATGAAACTCATCAGTAGGAACTGAGTATCTTCAGAGTCACTGACATTTTCCCCAGCATGGCCTACAGGCTATTCTTAATTTTCTAGGAATTATTGTGTATGGTTTTAAACTTTCCCTTTCTTCATCTGACCTGATGTGGGTGAATGTCATCTTTCACTCTAATAAGCTTATACATTTCTAATCTGTTCCTTTAAGTTCAGCTGCTGAGTCCTGGACACAAGAGCTGTCCATGTCCTGGGGATCCTGAATGCTCTTAGTTTGTCTCTTGGGGTTTTGTGAAAAGTGACAAATTATGAACGCTTCTGCTGGTACTTTTAAAACAACAAAGCTCAGCAGCATCAACACAAGGGTTTTAACATTTCATGCGCTCTCTGCCCCCTCCCATTTAATTAGCTACAAAAGTAAAATTAACCAGCTCTTAAAAGGTCCTCTGTGTGAGCACTGCAGGAGGTTCTTGTTTTATAAGATCTTGCACCACAATGTCACAGTGAGGTCAGATGGACAAAGCCAGTCGTGCTCTCCCAGTCTCTCAGCATGTTGCTGCTCCACAGCTGATTTCATTGTTTTCAAAGAAACAATAGGAAAGGGCTTGTTGAAAAAAAGGCCCTTTGAACGATTCGTTTGCTTGACTCTTTTGCATAATGAAGACATTCTGTTGTTTAAATTAAGCTTTGACACTAGATGTTAATATCATTTATCCCATTAAGTCACTTGCCCTGCTAGTTTGATCTTGATATTTAAATTGTATGTTAAATTACACAATTAAATCCTGCTTTTAGGGGTTATGAAAATTCCCTTCTAATTATATAAAAAGTTGTGTGAACCTTTTGATGTTTTTTTCACGGCTCTAATCATCTGGCTTGTTCCATCTAATTAGAAAGATGTGAATACTGCGATAAACTTTCCTAAGTATGCATCAAAAGAATGTGATGGAAATGTCAGGCTTTTAGGAAATTCATTACATGTTCTATGTTTACTCCCCTCGATTTTCTGTCTTTTTAGATCATCTCTTTCCTTTTCTCTCTTTATTGAACGTAACCTCTTCAATACAAATTTTATACATAATCATGCTAAGCATTGCTGCAGCCACATATAAGATTCAAACTGTAGTATGTCTGGAGCAGATTAAAACTTTTTTTCAAGGGCTCTCCCAGGGTACAGATAATAAATGCTCCCTAATTTTAGCCATTCTGACAGAATAAATGTCACAGCATTTGCCATCAAAGGCCCTCTCTCATATGACTGAGAGCATTTCCCACATGATCTTTTTCTCTTTCCTCCCCTCTGCTGACAGCAGGATTGAGGAAGCACCTCTGTGCCAGGGTGGGAACACCAGTGTTGGGTGTTGAGATGGGTGCACAGCTGCTAGCAAGAGGGAGAGACTGTCAGTACCTGGCTCCACAAGTGATAGGTAACATGTTCTACTCTCACCAAAAAGTCTCTCCAACTTTCTTCAAGAGAAGTTTCAGTGTTCACGAAACAATTAACTCCATCCTTTCCTTTCCTCTCTCAACACCTACTCTTCATTTCCTATCCTAGCAATGCCCTTAAACATAAATCTGTATTTCTGAAGAGTTCCTCTTGGCTTATGTCATTGTGAGATCAAAACCAGTTCTTTAATGTCCTCATTCTGCTTGCATTACCTTTGAAATTCTTCATAGTTGCCCCTAAATTATGCTATGAGCAGCACACATCCCTGCCTCCTCTGGGGAAATGTCCTTTTGCTAATTCATCGTCTAAGTCAGTCACTAATGAACAAACTTTACAATAAGCTAACAGTGGTACTGCTGCAAGTCCACTAAGTACAGGACTCAAGAAGTTTAAACATGCATAGGTCATTAAGAGTATTTATTTGTGCCATGGTAATTTCTGGGGAATTTTGGCGTCATTGTGCTTAATACTGTGTGAAAATTAGATAACCTGTTCCCTGAAACCCTACAGTCCTATTAGTATGACAATGCTACTGCTAAGCAAGGGTTGTGCATCCCTCACTTCTGCTTAATACTGAATGATTCCTATATATTGTTTATGTAGGGCAAAATGCAATTACTAATATACAATTTGATTTTGCATATATTTAAAGCAGTTTTATCCATTTTTAAAACCTCAGCTAGCTCTAGGAGTCACATCACTTTATTCCAAATTAATTTAATGGGATTTCAAGAAGGAAGAGTAGTCTAAATAAAGATACCTGATGACATAAGCAAAATGAGAAAGAAAAAAATCTGTTTATTAAAGGGGAGCAGAGAAGTAACAAAAAAGGAAAGGATAGAGAGGAATAAATACAACAGAAGTTGAGGAGGATGCAAACACTGAGTACCCACCACTTGAGAGTTCTAAGAAAATGTCCACATCTTAGAGAATTTACCCTGAGCATCAATTTCACCAAACGGGGCTCTACAACATCTCCGTTATTTGTTTTGAGACTACAAAGAAGTTTGAGAGAATGTTATCCAAAGGATAATTCCTTCAAAGAAATGAAAAAGAAGGGAAAAAAAGGCTTAAAACTATAGCTGTAGCATCACTAGATGATGCCATAGCAAGACACACACACCACTGTGTCTCTCCCTGAGCTTTACCGTCACTTCACATCCAAGTTCATCAATTAATATCATCTCCTACAAAGTTCAATAAAAAAATAAAACTGAAAAGGACATAATATTACTAATAACAGCTCCATTTATTGGACAGTGACTGATCCAATCTGTGACAGAAAAGATCAAGCAGTGGAAAGGTTGTTAGCTTGAAGTGCTTTTATAGTGCGTTCCAACTCTCAGCTGCTGAAAATTCAAAAGGCCATCCCATGTACCAAAGGTAGCAAAAAATGCAAGGGAAAGACACTTTAATAAAACTGTCAGATCTTGGGTGATACACTGATGAGGAAAGTGCATGCTTCGAAGAAATGTTGGAGTGTTGCCCAGAAATATCCTATAGACAAATGCACATCGTTTTTCAAATGACTTCTGCTCACCAACAGCCAGCTCTGTGAGTCACAAAGGTGAGGGGGAAAGGGAAGCTGTCCAAAAAGTAAGCAAACTGTTAAATGATAAAACAGAGCCCTTTCAGCAAGTTTCTGATAAGCAGCTGGAAATTGTTTTTATTGTCACCATTGTTTTTGAGAGAGATGTGACCTTTGGGCTTATAAATTCTTAGGTAATTGTGTGAAAAAAATCTGTCATGAATATTCAGATAATTTAATTCCTTTTTTTGCGTCATTCTTTAAAGCACCCTGTAATCTGGTGCTTCTTCTTTCTGTTTTTTAGTTTTCTAGTTTAATTCTACTCAGAGAGTTATAAATTCTTAGAAAAATCCACTTTTGCTGGTTTGTTTGAATGAGAAATGTCTAAATTTCATCTGAAATGGTCTAATTAGGAGATTTCATATCTGTAATCTTTTCTTTATAAAGCTGGCTTAGAGATGAGTCAAAGGCTACTTTTTTTATTCTTCATGACCAGTAACTTGAGGAACAACAAAGAAGGCCACTTACCAACCTACTGCTAACCTTTATTTCTTACAAGGCTCCTGTTAGATAATGATGGATATGAAACACCTTTGCATTTTTTTACTCAAACCAGAAAATGGGCAAAACCAAGACCTGAAATAACAGCTGATTTTATTCACAGAGTTCTTCAACACAAGTTCTTCATTGACAAAACTTGGTTATTTTCTGCAGTTGTTTCCACCCCATCCTCAAGCTTACTCTTTGAAAATGCATGGGGCTATACAATGCTTCTCATAGCTTTAGCTACAAAAAGACAATCATTAAACATTGTCAGAATGTATTTTAAATAAGTCTGCCTGTACTTCCAAATCTCTGTGAGTTCAGACTTGTCCAAGAGCCCTTGGGTTTTCTATTGTTATCTAAATAAGGTGACAGTATCTGCTGTTTAATCTTCATAGAAATCATACCTTGCTGCTCAGGCCCTTTTCTCCTGACAACCAAGTTAGACCTACAAAGAGAGGAAATACAGAGTTCGCCACAAGTTCATAACCCTTTACTCTGCTCCAAGACATTTGCACATTTTTTAAGTCACACCTGTGTTTGTGATGAGAAGACACTGCTGTCTCCTGCATACCCTGCAGATCCTGCAAGTCAATTCCTGGCTTTCCTGCATAACCATCTCAATTTCTCTAAGATTTTCAGTTTGGTTTTAAAATTGTTGTTGTTGTTAAATGAGGGGTTACTGAAAGCAGCACATCTTTCTCCTAATACTATTACTCTCACTTTTTTCATCTAAACGTGTCTTTCTAGAGTAAAGTCGCTTTTTCTGTAAGAGTTTCTGTCATATTGATGCAGGTGGCAGTAAACTCACCTCATGAAGGACAGTTTCACCTGAAATCTTCCACATTAGGGTGAATAGAGTTGTTTTTATGGCATGCAGAGGTCAATATTTCCAGCAAACACTCTTTTTCCCTTTAAATTCCTGCAAGCAGATGGCTTGCAGAACAAGGGAATGACTCAAATCTTTGGATGTCAAATGGCATCTTCAATAAAGTAGTGGGGGAAAAAACTTTGCCAACTGTTGGAGTTCCCTCACTTTCTATGTCATAGTTCATGCAGAGTACAGCATGTGTCTGATGAGAAGGGGATTAATTGTCTCTTGATTAATGGTCAAGAATGAGCTTTTACTTTTTGAGGACCAAATACAAGGGCAGTGAGAGTGTAGTTTGTCTGCAGGAATATATTCTCCCACAACGAGCTCCCTATGAAGTTCATGTGGTTTTCACCTCAAATATTAATTTGCAATAAAAAGCCTTCACTTTTGATATGGGCATGCAGTGATGAGGCAAGGGGGAATGGCTTTAAACTGGCAGAGAGCAGGTTTAAGTTGGATATTTGGAAGAAATAATTTCCTGCGAGGGTGGTGAAGCCCTGTAACAGAAGTCACACGGAGAAGCTGTGGCTGTCCCATCTCTGGAGGTGCTTAAGGCCAGATTGAATGGGGCTTGGAGCAACCTGGCCTAGTGGAAGGGCAGGTTGTCCCTGCCCAGGGCAGGGAGTTGGAACAAATTGATCTCTAAGGTCCCTTTCAACCCAAGCCATTCTATAATTCTATATAACGATACACCCCTGCTGCAGCCCTCTGATTTTTGACTCAAGATAAAAGACTAGATCCAGAGTATTAGCAACTATTCATGCTAGAATACATTTGTAGAAAGTCCCTTGTTGTTCAGGAGTGACTCGGGAATCACGCCAACCCTGTGGATGTTAAAAGCATTGACCAGCCAGTGTTGCTCTTATTACCTCCAATATCAGCACAGGGAGAACCATCATCACCTTACCCACAGAACAACGAGGGGAATAACCTTCAACAGTGAGTGCATGACAACATTCAAACAAAAATTAGTCCCTTAAAGATGAAAACCTTCAAATCATAAAATCATTAAGGTTGGAAAAGGCCTCTAAGTTCATTGAGTCCAACTGTTAACCCATTACTAACAGGTCCACTGCTAGACCGTGTCTCTAAGCACAACATCTGCATTTAGAATGCTCCAAACACAGACTGTCAGCCAGGAGAGTTCCAGTACTTCAGATCTGGGTTACACAGAGCCACCACCTATCAACATTCTTTTAATTCAACAGAAGTTATGTTAAAAGTAGACAGATTGGTTTCTTTCATACACTGGTCAATAGCTTTGCCTTTATCAGTGCATGATTGGTCAGTGTTTTATTCACTGCTGTATTCAACAGCACAAGTAAGGAAATATATTTGCGTTGGAGGGAATTAAAACATAATGGTAGGTTCATCAGTTCCATCTGTGTTTGTGATCTAAATAATAAAAGAACCTCTTTCTTTCAAAATCCCTTTTGTTGCTCCTTTGAGATTCATTTTAGATTAATCTTTTTTCTTCTTTATTTCCAAAGGACATCCATTACCTTGCTCTAGATAAGGGTGAATTGGCACTAGCTGAAGTGGCAAAGAGAAAGGCTAATGACATTGATGCAGAATCAATAACTACTGGAATTGGTAAGAATTAATGGTGTTTAAAAAGCCCTTTTGTTTTAATCAATACTTGTCCTGTAGAACATGTTGTTATATTTGTAGAGGGGTTATTGTTTTGATTGCATTGTTTTCTTTGAAAGTGAGACCGGATTTTTATTTGTGACTAAGGAACAGTATTTTTATTTGTAATTAAGGAAGAAGGCTTATAAAAATCACATAGCTTTGCCTTTCACTACCTGTGTGAGGATAGCTATGAAGCAAAAAGATTTATGCTGTGGCTATATAGAAAAGTTCAGGCTGTACAAACTGAACTGAGTGCGAGAGGTAAGGGACTGAATCTGAAAATCATTGCTCATATCAACATTAGAGGCAATTTCACTCACCTCTAAATACTTGCTGGTGCACACTGGAGCCACATCCAACATTGATACTTTGGAAGCACTCAGATGGAACATTTACTGATGTGAATACAGCTTCACATCCTGGCTTTACAGCAGCAGCTTTGCATGCAGTGGGATTCTTACCATTCCATAAGGAATGTCGATGCTAAAGTTGCTAAGTGTGAGACTAATAGCTGAAACACAGATGACTTTTCATGCAGGGGAACTCAAAACTCATTCACTTTCTCCTTGTGTTTCTTCTGAATTGACATAAAGAGATGTATGCAAGCACACAAGACCATTCTGATTTCATGCCTTATAGCATGAGCCAAGCAGAAGGTGTCTATGTCAAGGGAGCTGACCTCCATTGGAGACAAAGGCAAGAAAACCAACAAAGCCTAAAAATGTTTGCATAAAACTTGCACAATTCTCTTTTGCTTATTCTACTGCATCATTGAATATTAGAGGAAAGCACTGAGCTTTTGTCCTTATTCCATGCCAAGAAGTAGAATAGGATTAAAACTCAAAAGGTTTTTTCATGAGTCAGAGTCACAAAACCTGTGAGATTTTGGGTAACTTGGGATTCTTTTAGGACAGTGCATCTATAAATCTCCCTGTTTACCCAGAGCATACGAGGGAATGCCGCTCCAGTACCTAGAAATGCAGAGAGGCCATATATGCATTTATGTGGCTATTTCTATAGATTGTATAAATCCATGACTTTCAAGACTTCTATGATACAGGAGCACCTTCTTCCCTCTCCAGAGGGAATCTGCTCACCAGAGTAGGAAGCAAGCAGTGCCTCTCCTGAACTCTTTTCTTCAGGGTCTTTCATTTTCATGCTCAAGTCACATAAAGCTATTTTTCCACCATAACTGGGCTTTTGGGCAAGCCCTTTCACCACTAGAGTTCAAAAAAAAGGACACCTGTTTAGGTCATCCCTTACTGGCACTTGTGTGCCAATTACATCTCCCTTGCCTTCTCTTCTCTTACTTCCTAGGTATTTATGTGCTGCACCAAATATAACTGAGATACCCAGGACTTGCATCTGATCATTGTCTGTTCCCTGACACTTAATCCAGAAAATTCAAACTCTAATTTGTATCTTCATTTAATTCCTTGCAAACTACCATGATTACTAGATTTCTGGGCTATTTGTAAATTTAATGAGAGCCTTTTGTAGCATTGTAGCTGAACATGCAGGGAGAGGGGTAGGGAAAAGAACTGAGGTGACCACAGTTGCCTTCCTTGCATATCAAATGCCACACATGTGTAACTACAATTCAGCTATAAATGTGTAGGCACACAGTCTTCCCCTCCTCCAGACCAGTCCTACAGTTACGTCTACAATGCCCCATTAGCATAAATTATTAAAGTCATTTTATATGATAAAGACTTATGCTGAATAATTAACTATCAGGATGATTTTAAATACTTTTCAATGCCCCCAGGGACAAACTGTCACTGAGATTCATTCTCTAAACAGTAATGAATTTGCATCCAATTCATTTTATATGAAAATAAACAGGAATCTCCCATGAGTTTGTTTTGCTGCAGATTCAATCTCACCTTAAACATGTGAAATCTCAGCCACAGGTTTTGTTTTGTTATACTTTATTCCAACGTCCCTTCTAATGATGCTTTTCTTTCATAAACTGTCATCGGCAAAAAAGTTGACATGAGGTATGAACTTTGTGGACCCAATGAAAACAAAAGATGATAAGTGCTTCATATGTAAATTGCTGTATTTTTCTAATACTTTGAGAGGGGGAGAAAAAATCATGCCTGAGCCAGATTGTTTTAAAATGCAGTTTCAAACAAGTCTGTGTCCCTTGACCTCTTCCCAAACCAAGTCCTCTTCAGCTGGTCCCTGCTCTCTGGAGCTTGCATCCATTCAGTTCACCAATGGTCACACTTCTCCCCAAAGTTCTTGAACAGCCACTTCAGGCTTTTACAGGAAGACAGTAACCTAAGCAAAGAGAGGCAGCAAGGTGCAACCAGTGCTATTGAGCTTATACTAGACACCTCTATAGCTTATTTCTTAAAAATATATATATATAAAGTGAACCATTTTCATATGTCAACATCTGAAGAAATTTCCTGAGCTAGCCCATCCCCAAACCTCAGATCAGCACTGCTTGCAAATAAGATGAGTCAGTGCTTCTGGCTGATTCCCAAGCCTTTGAGAGGCTCCATCTTGCCCCAGATATAATTTGTCAAGATATTTCTGTGTACAGGGTGCACTTCAAGCATAATGTATTTCAAACTCTGACTTTCAGGAAAAGTTTCAAGCTCCTTCAAATAATGTAGGATGACAATATAATTTCATCTAAAATTTATAGACATCATCCAGAGTCCTGTATGGGTAGATTCCTCACATATATTATGTCACTATTTGTATCAAGATAAAACTAAAAATAGGTTGATTTTTTTAAGATTTCCTGAATTTTGGCTCTTCTTAGTTCATTATCATGTGATTGCAGTTTGCTGGACACTGTTTTGAAGAAGGCACCTTCAAAGCTAAGGATGTCTGTGGGCATCTGGTGAAAACAGACCTCCAGAGCACAGTAGTTTGGTGAGAATATTGCTGAGCAAGATGAAGTGTCAGGTGAATATGGTTTTGGGAGAATCATATATTTTGTTCATCTGATTAAAATTTTCTGAGGATAAGTATTCTGATAAGATTTTATGTTTGACAGCCTGTGAAAATGCATACTTAGGGATGAGAAGATTGAAGTAATGGTACTGTACATCTCAGAAATGGCATTAGCCATCTCCTCTTTCCCCACTCTTATTTGATCAACAGACCACTGGCTGTGGATCCTGTGGTTTCTTCTTCCAAAGATTTTCTGTTGAATAATTTCTGTAGTAGATCCACAAGTTCCTTAATGAGGTCAGGGAGTTCTCATTTAGCCTTGCCTAAAATGTATGCTGTGCACCTCATTTCACTTGATTAAAAGAGAGAATAAATAATTTATTCAATATTGGCATATATGTAGGTTACTAATAAATTTTGTTTATGAGCACAACCTGGCATATGCTATTCTGGAAGAGTATTGTCTGTGGTGGGAGAGTGAGTCTGCTTGGTGCTGTAAAGTGTGGGTTGCTAATGTAAAACCTGAGCTGCAAAGAACTGACATGGCAGAGCCTGTTAAGAAATGCCATAGCTAATAATGATCATGGAAGTGAAGAACTCAGCCCTTCAGACATCATTGCTCAATGAATATCCAACAAGGAGCATATGTAGGCAGTGTCAGAAAGTTTCCCAAGGCCAACTTCCAACAAATTACATTAGGGCCTAGCAAGGTGATTTTAACCTTCAAATCAACAGCTTTCACCCAAAAGGGATTCATGTTGTGACAAGACAGATAACTGCTGCATAGTTGAAAGGCAAATTGGGAAACCTTGTATTTCTACTTAGAATTTCAGAATATTAGTAACTAATGTTTAGGCAACATTTCTAACAGAGGTATCTTAACAAAAACACTGATGTTCAGATAATTGCATTGTTCTGAAATGCTAGATGGGACTGACTAACATTTTGGTGGTTCACTAATGTCTCATGAAAGCGCTTGAGGTTTTTCCATTTAAAATAGAATCTTAAAATATTTCTGGAAGTATTCCATACAGTTTGCGAGATAGGGAATCTTATCAGTTCTCACAGAGACTGAAGTCTAATTTCCCACAGTGTTTGTAAAATGACATTTAAAATGTAGAGACCCTAAATTTTTCACCTTACCGGCAAGGAACATCACCAGTTTTGAACCCTAAGTGGAGAATTAATTAATTTTATCTTAGTTCTGTGGTAGTGTTTTATATTGAACAGCTTACATGTTCTTTGTGATAATTAATAATGACACATCCTATGGTATTTTGTCTGAGATACCAGTCTGATCTTGCATTACAGTCTGCTACCTCCAAATCACTTATCATTTACTCAGATCTTCCCCTCTTCCTGACAGTCCTGGGGAGCCTGCTTGCATTTCAAGACCATGTTTAGAATTGTCTCCCTGTGTTTTTAACCTTCTCTGGCCTTGCATTAGCCTAGTTAGTAACATTTCCTTCTCCTCTGATCCATAATGACTCCTTTCATCTCTCAAGTGATATTCTTCCTCACCCTCACGTACCCTTTCTGACACTGATGGCAAAGCCTTCTTCATTTCCTGCTCTTCCTTGGCACGTGCAGCTTTCTCTTGTCATCTATCAAGTTTCAAGAGAATCTTGGTCTTTATTTAATGACTTTTATTTCACTGTGTAACATATTTACAGCATGCTTCAAAGGTATTGTCCCAGACACCGGTGAACTGTGATCTGGGAAGACTCAGGGTGACACCTATTCATGCTCCAGTTTTTTAGAGTCTGCCCCCTTCAGTGTAAGTGTTAGATCTCCTATTTATTTATTTCTGTTTTCATTTTAAGTCAATCAAAACCTCAGGAATCAAACCCTTAGATTTTATTTTTGTAATAATGTGACTTTATCCCCAGAGAGCCAGAAAAACATTTTTAATGAAAAATGCTTTGTAAGTATGATTGGCAGTTCACCTATGGCAAGAAATTAGTTTCCACAAGCACCTTTTTAATTTTGAGCCACCCAAGATGAGTGTCTTTGAAGATCCATAGTAATTTGAAATTATTTAACTGTTC